CCTAAATAAATACTTTAATTGTAAATATTTGAAAATATATGGTATGTATCAGAATTTCTGACGATATAAAACATATTGTGGTTTATAATTAAGTTCTTAATAGTGATCCTATCCTGCATCATAATTTACATAATATCTACTTCTGTTTTGTGTATTAAAATGACTACTTTTTATATTAATTTCTTTCTGTAAATGATGATGATGATGATAAAGTTCAGTAAATGTAAGTAAGAACATAAGAATGAAGGTAACTGCAAAAGACTTATTGGCCCATACGAGGCAGCTCCTCGTATGGAGCTGCCTTTGATAAGTAATTACCAAAGAAGGCACCAAGCCGGGAAGGCTGTGTAGCACAATCAAATAAGTCAACTGCTCCTGAAGAGGACGGTATTACTTACAGTTTACTGAGATTAGTCTCACAAGTACCAGGTAATCCACTTTTAGTGTTGTACAGAATGAGTTTAAGTGAAGGAGTATTACCTGATGATTGGACAGTGTCATTGTTCCCATCCCCAAAGCACACTCAGATAATTATAGACCCATATCTCTAACATAATTTTGTCTATTAGCACAGTTTTCGGCGTGAATGCATTTTGGTTCTACAAGGTAGCCAACTCCATCAAAATATTAAATATGTACCCAACTCAATTAACGATTAATCAACCAATTACTCCATGGGATAACTTGGATCTAGCAGTTGATTTTGTAAATGCACCCAAGAAAGATAATGTACACTCTACATTATTAAAACAGTTAACACTGTGAAGCATCACTGAAAGTACTCAGAATATGGGTAACGATGTGTATCAGTGGTATACCGACGGTTCTGTAGAAGAAGGTGGACGATGTACCGGATGTGCATGTAATATATTTGAACAATCTTCTCTCTTACATACATGAATGAAGCGCTATGCTAAACTGTGTAATTACTATTTGAGTACTGGAACACTTGATGATATATTGAACTTGTACCCTAGATTGACGATGTAACGTATCAATTATACAATGAATGTATGTGATGTAACTCTATAACCTGAGCTTGTGAAAGCACCTTAATCACCTTCAGTGATTAAGTGCTTAATTGCACACTAGTTTCTCTATCAGTTATCTCACCTTGTCAGAGTAAAAGAGACAAATATATGTGTATGTATGTGTTCAGAATTCAATTTCACCTTTGTAAATGCACGTTAATGACACTATGTAAAAGACACATCGAACACTTTATGTAGGGCATACGTAAATCTGTGTATTTACGTATGTAGCTTAGCCTAGCATTTTAAAAACACTACAATCACCTTATGTGGTTGATTGTTCAATAAATCCCTGAACTATATGTTTAACAAATCTCTAACCTTATCAATGGAGTTAGTTTAGTTCTTATATTATGCACCCTATACCCATCTTGTGGGCGGTAGTGGAAAGGGTTAGAGTCCATGGCGGACTGAAGAAAATGTATATATGATGGTTAGCATTGTTAATGTGTGGCCACGTCTGTGGTAGAAAATAATACAAAAAAATCAAATAAAGGTATTATTGAAACTTTATACGAAAACATTAAATCCTAAATATATCTTTAATATTATACTTGAAATATGGTATACTTTGCTCTCTCCATCGTACTTCTGCACCTGCTGGCAAGTGGTTCGGTGCAGTGTGCAGGTGATGTTCATTACTGGGTGAGCTGGCAAGTGGTGCTCACCTGCCAGCTCACCCAACGAAAATTTGGTTTTTAATACACTTACACATTTATTGGGTCTTTCCTTCACCTTCATTCAAGCACTAGGGTATTACAGTAAGTGTTTTAATTATAATATTTATTAACGTTATTATTTTTAATTTTTATTATTATTAGTATTATTATTAACAGGAGAGGATCGAGTGTGTGTGTGTGGGGGGGGGGGGGGTATAATGGTACACATGTCCACATCCCAATGCCCGCCCTTCCAGGACTGGGGGTGCGGGGGTGTACAATAAACTATACCCACATCCGGCGGCAGCTTGTCGAAGGCGGAAGTGTAGCCTAGAGAATTTGTCATGATAATTAGTGATGACTCTTATTTTGATTATGGGTCTGTAATCCAGTTAAGCTTTTATTCTTAATTTATATTACAATGCTGGTAAAATACACTTCTTGATGAGTATGGAGTACAAATGAACTCATTGTGTACCCAAGTTCAAGTTCAAGTATGTTTATTGAGATAAGCAATAAATAAATCTCAAAGGGATAGAGTAGCTTAGGCTATTTCAACCCCCCTCTAATTCAAGTCCCTCAAGGGGCGCACAAATACTGTGACTACAAATAGACAAATAACATTACAAGAATCCAAACAAGAATTGTGAACCCTATACTCACAGGATGAATATAGGGTACACAATAAACTACCACTCACATCATGGGTATGGGTTGCACAAGAAACTATCGCGTAGAGGATGAATATGGAGAGCAAAGTAAACAAAGATTCACACGATGAGAAAGGGTTTCGCAATGTCCTATGACTCACAGAATGAGTATTAGCTGCACAATAAACTACAGGTCACAGGATAAGTATGGGTTGCACAATAAATTACAGGTCACAGGATGGGTATGGGCTGCACAAACTACCGGTAACAGGATGAGTATGGGATGCACAATAAATTACGGGTCACAGGATGAGTATGGGTTGCACAAACTACTGGTAACAAGATGAGTATGGGATGCACAATAAATTACCGCACAGAGGATGAGTATAGGGTGCACAAACTGGTTGGGTAAATGGAAATGGTTGGGTACATTTCCTTTCACCTAATGCGACTATTCATGTGTCCGGACACCGGCGATTGTGTGGTATTGGCTATTTATTTAACCATAACTTTGCATTCATTTAATAATTATATTAAGATATGTTTTCCTTGAAATGTAGTTACATTATCGTCTACATGGCTTTATTCTGACATAAAGACCTATGGCGTTACTTTGCATATATGCAAAGTAATTATAAAATTGATTGGCTTGTGTGGAGGCCTTCACACTCCCTGAGCGAGCCATCAAGTAACTATAAAAAGGCATATATCTTAACTTTCAATTCAGTTATATTTATGCCAAAGTATTAACATGCAGCTTATATTTATGTCTTTATGATGACATAGAAAACTTCGTTTATTACAATATCTAGATTAAATTAACATTGATCTTCGGAAGGTCATAGTTCCCATATCGGTAAGGAGAGCGTCGGCCATGAAGCCTTGTTTAAAGTATGAATATTTTTCCTCTCTAATAAGGTATAATCTCTGTGATGGATTCACAAAAACTATTTTATATCTGCCTTTCTGATAACATATACAAATATAATCTTTATTTGTGAATATTTGTTAATTAAGCAATATATCAGAGGGCGTGTAGGGTTCGGTGTTCAATGAACGAAAAGGACTGGATCACTGTGTACAGGAGGCTGATATGGCAGCAAACACTCTCCTGGCGACCATATTTCTTGGATAAGTCGCTCCACACAATTGTCGCTTGGACCGTCGACTTCCTATGGCGTCACCTCGCATATTTACGTCTCATTTCGTTATGAAATTATATTATTTCAGAGAAAAAATAGGTTTGATCATGTTCTACGTGTAGCACCAACATTATAGTAAGTAAATATACCATATTTCTTCATTACTTACGTAATGCTAATACGTTTTGGGTAGTTTTGGCCTGATTTGGGATGATTGGGGTAATTCTATGGACCCATTGATACTGTGTAATTTGTGACAATGGTGCACCACTGCACATGCCATAGCACCCAAGATTATTGCAACTTTCTTTGTTCAAGATTGGAGTCGTCTTTAGTGCAGACACCAAAACACTACTGCACTATTTTGCTTGGGTGAAACTAAGGCATTGGGCAGTTTCAGCAAATTCTCATTGAAACAGCTTTACTTAAAGAAATGGCAACATTTGCTGCAGAATGCATTTTAATAAGTCATATACTTTCCAACTTCACACCTGCATCCACATTTGTTGCTTTGTGGTAACAAGCCAAGAGTTGTGTTAATTACAAATTTAATAGGCCAAATTGCTCACTAATCCAGTATTTCTGTCCTTTCTGCTTTGTCTATGGAAAGATGGCCAATTTTTATAATAAATAAATAAATAAATGTTTATTCAGGTAAGGTACATACATACAAGAGATTTTTACAAAAATTGCTAGGTTTATAGATTCCGTTATCTTGAGATGATTTCGGGGCTTTAGTGTCCCCGTGGCCCGGTCCTCGACCAGGCCTCCACCCCCAGGAAGCTGCCCGTGACAGCTGACTAACACCCAGGTACCTATTTTACTGCTAGGTAACAGGGGCATAGGGTGAAAGAAACTCTGCCCATTGTTTCTCGCCGGCGCCTGGGATCGAACCCAGGACCACAAGTCCAGCGTGCTGTCCACTCGGCCGACCGGCTCCCCAGATTTATTTATTTATTTATTTATTTATTTATTTATTTATATATATACAAGAAGGTACATTGGGTTTGTGAGAATACATTGGATAGTACAGTATTTACATTCTTGTAAAGCCACTAGTACGCGCAGCGTTTCGGGCAGGTCCTTAATCTAGCAGATAATTTTAAGTAGGTAATTTCTATCAGAATTGATAAATGATAAAGATACATTGCAAGAGAAAAATGAGATGAGAGAGCTTAGTAAGTATATTAAAGCACATTGTTATATTAGATAGAGCTGGTACATACAATGCCTCAAGCCACTATTACGTAAAGCATTTTGGGCAGCGTTTTTAGTAAAGATTCATGCACCCAATGCTGACTACACTGGGTGCAGCAACTACAAATGTTTTGTAAAATTAACAAAAGAATATTAGCAACAACTAATATTCATTGGTTTAATTTTTGAAGTATATACACTATGCTTATCTAAATATAAATGTATGTAGATAAATTGCATGAAGGCAAATCAGGCTTAATGGTCACGGCTTTATTTTAATTAAGCACTTCTGTAAAAAATTGATGTAAATAAATGTCCTAATTCATTTATAAAGTTTATTAAACTAATGTTTCTCACATTAATGAACAATTCAGCCAAACTCCAACTATCACAATTTCTCTTAACATTAGTGCACAGTTAAGTAAAAAGTAAAGTGTTTGAAGGTTAATACAAACATTGGACTCAAGAGCTGCATCTCCCTGGTACATTAATCATCCACTTAAGACAACTTCAGTCTTCTACACTATATAGTTGCTTATATCAAACTTTCATGCGATATTTACAGAACTATTAACTCCATTTAAGACAGTCTCAGTGGGCACAATATCCATGTGAGGCATTGGTTTGATGTTGAATGAAGAGCATCTATGTTGATCCAGCATTGTATTGCCCCCAATACAATGCTAGATCAATATCCAATGCCCCCCATTGGATATTGCCCCCAATTGCACTGGAATTGATTTTCACAATGTACTAATAAAAGCTGCTACTCCTAAAGGAGCTTTGCAACAAGTGTATAAAATGTAGCACAGTAACTATGAAAGTTTGCGTCACTTGCATTAATGATATGCAAGATTGTCAACATTTTTGGTAGCTTAATAAATGCTAAATTATATACATTTCCTATACAGACTTCAATGCTCTGATTGGTTTATATCACAAAATGAGAATCTGCTCAGTACCATTTTGATTTATAGTACCAGTACATTATAATGTTTTAATATAATATGAATACTCAATCGTTTCATCTGGAAGTGTTTAATTCTCTACTAATATAAAATTACACTTTCACAATTTTTGTTTTTCGAGTAAGTCTCCACTCGCACAATTTGCAAAGAGCAAAGTTTTTCTTTGTCAATAAAATATTTTGCACACTGAGTTTATTGGGCTCAATATATTGAGGTAATTTTATGAACCCATTGGGATCAGACGAGAAGTCTTCACAGCAATGAGCGAGTTCGAGGTAACAACTTTCTTAAAAACGAAAGTTATCACTTTGCGGTACAAGGGCGTCTTCAAAAAACTTTGACTAATTTATTTATTTTCTTTAATCGAGCATCACAATAGTATTTTCCCCCCTTGCATTTCACTTTGAATTGTTACTTTTCAGTCTTGGTTTTAGAGCTTGTCCGTTACACTTGAATCAATAGTTTTTTAAGGTAATACACTTTGTTTCGAGTCTGATTTGCAAAGTTCAAGCTTATCTGTGTCCTTACGTTGCCGATGTTTCTTTTGAATGAGATCTTGTGGATGTGGCATGAAGTATCGTAATTTCTCCCAAAATTTAGCATCGCCCCACTTAACATAAGTCTTCATGGAGATATAAAGTTGAAGTTTTTCATCAAGTTCACTTTCTGATGGAATCTGAAAGAAAAAATTGACTATAATACATGTTGTGGGGGAGGAATACTAGGCATACATCACCACCGAGATGTAGTCTGTTGCACAGCTAAGAATTATTTTGGCAACACCATTGAAAGAACACATTAGTTTAAAAATAAGTTACCAAATTTTAATGTATCAAAATAGATGAATAAATATACATATATATATATATATACACATGTGCACGTATGTGTGCATACGTAAGTACATTTGTAGATGGGGAAAAAAATAATCTTCCATTTCATGTAGGCAAGCTATATAATAGTTAATAAAATGCCACTTTCTGATCGTGTCGCTTTGTTCCTGGGCCCATTCCACTGGCCTGATTTTTTTCCCCTATGCCCTTTTTCCTGGGGATGCTGAGAGACAAGTGGAAGGACTGGCTAGCTATGTACGTGACTAATGCCAACCGGTGGTGGCAGAAGCCAGGACACTAACAAGGGGGGTAATTTTAAAAAGCAGCATAGCAATGCACAAGTTTACTTAAAAGTATATTTTAAGGGAGGTATTTGATAACCAAAAAGAGCTCGGCAGAAAACTGCCCTCAGATCAGCTTGACATCACACATATCTTGAGGTTATCTTGAGATGATTTCGGGGCTTTTTTTAGTGTCCCCGCGGCCCGGTCCTCGACCAGGCCTCCACCCCCAGGAAGCAGTCCGTGACAGCTGACTAACACCCAGGTACCTATTTTACTGCTAGGTAACAGGGGCATAGGGTGAAAGAAATTCTGCCCATTGTTTCTCGCCGGCGCCCGGGATCAACCCCGGGACCACAGGATCACAAGTCCAGCATGCTGTCCGCTCGGCCGACCAACTCTCTGCACATCTGCAAGCCCATTGAAAGAACCCTACGGGAGGGAATCATTCACCCTCTTTCAGTGAACAATCTTGTAAAATCAACACGTGGGCTTTGTTAAAAACAGATCCTGCCTTACAAACCTGCTCACATTTTTGGAAATGGTAATTAGCTACTCAAAGGGCTTCAGGTCGATGTAAATGGGAACGAGTGAGTGACTGGAGAAATGTGGCGAGTGGGGTACAACAGGGGTCCATTGAGGCCAACCCTTTGTATTATATCCATATATGACATGAGAATATTACAAACCACATCATCAAATTTGCATATGTATAATTTGCAAGACTGCCAAATGTTTTTTAATATCAACAAATGCATGACCTGTAGCGAGTAGATTATCCCAATAATATACTCGCTCTAAATGCTTTGTTAATATTCCTGTCAACCTTTGGAGATGAATGAGGTGAGGCGTTGCCCGGACAACACGGTGAGGCGTTGCCCGGGCATATAAGCAGCAGGATAGCAAACATTAACCAGAGTCTACTTTCAAGTGTGGTCTAGAGCAGACACTTGTGAGATACTGTACCGACGCTCAGTGCGCTCAACTCACACCAAAGTATCACCGGTGTACTTCTGTATATTCGACCAAATATATATATAGTATCTTAGTGTCCGTGTTTATTTGTCACCATACTTTACGTAACAATAGAACCGTTACAGACCTTTTTATATGGGGCATAGTAACCCACTCCAACTACTAAATTATTAAAATTCCAATACAGCAAATTGATGAAGAAAAGGTCCTCGGAGCCAAAATCCATGATCCACTGAAAGTTGCACAACAGGTAGGAGCAGCAGTCAAAAAAGCTAACCAAACCCCTGGAATAATCAAGGGTACCCTTGACTAAGGAAAAGGTAGTAATTCAGTTGTATAACTCTCTGGTGTGTCCCCATTTGGATTACTGTATCCAAGCATGGAGGACATAGCTGTTCCGGAGAAAACGCAGCACCGGGCAACAAAAATTATCCCATAGCTAAGTCAACTCTCAGGAATGGTTGAGGGCTACAGGACTTAACAACACTGCAAACCAAGCATGACAGGGCAGATCTCATTGAAACTTACAACACTGAACAATTTGGAGGATATTGATCCAGAAAACCTCTTTCAAAAGGTCAGATGTAACACAAACGAGGAGCAATGGTTTCAAGCTCACCAAGCCACAATGTTCTGAGAACAGGAGATGCTTTTTCACCCACAATTTATTTATTTATATATATACAAGAAGGTACATTGGGATTGTGAGGATACATAGTATAGTAATTGCAATCTTGTAAAGCCACTAGTACGTGCAGCGTTTCGGGCAGGTCCTTAATCTAAGAAAATTTTAAGTAGGTAAATACTTGCAAAATTTTTAAAAAATGATAACAGTTACAAAGCAAGAAAAAAAAAATAAAAGATGAGAGAAAATTGTAGGTATATTAAGCACATAGGTAGCTCAGATTGATTGCAATGACAGCTTGAATGGTAGTTTAACAAAAATAAGTAGGCACAATACAGCATATGGCTAGCACATAAAAGAAGACAGCAATGAACACAATGATAAAGTTGTTTGGGTTAAGTACATAAAGGTTGGGAGATTGGGTAACACTAGATACAGAGCAAATTTAAAGTTCAGTGTAGGAAACTACGAAGATGAAATTAGGTACTTTTTTTTTTTTTTTTTTTTAAATGAGGCAAAAGTTTGACAGCTTTTCAATTCACTAGGGAGTGAGTTCCATAGACTAGGTCCCCTAATTTGCATAAGAGTGTTTACACAGATTAAGTTTGACCTCTGGGGATATCAAAGGGATATTTATTTCTGGTGTGGTGATAATGGGTCCTATTATATCTGTCCAGGGAGAGTTTCAGAACATGGTTTGCTTTTAAGAACAGAGTTTTGTAAATGTAGTTGACAAGAGAATGTGTGGAGGGAGTTAATATTTAGCAAGTTTAGGAATTTAAACAAGGGAGCCGAGTGTTGTCTGAAAGCAGAGTTTGTTATTATTCTGATAGCAGATTTTTGCTGGGTGATGATGGGCTTAAGGTGGTTTGCAGTGGTAGACCCCCATGCACAGATACCATAATTTAGATAGGGGTAGACTAGTGCATAATATAGTGAGAGGAGAGCTGAGTTAGGAACATAATATCTTATTTTAGAGAGTATACCAACGGTTTTAGAGACTTTCTTAGTTATGTGTTGAATGTGGGTGCTGAAGTCGAGTCTCTTGTCAAGGAATAGGCCAAGAAACTTGCCATCATTTTTATTACTGATGTTAATGTTGTCTATCTGTAGCTGAATTGCATTCGATGATTTGCTTCCAAATAAGATGTAGTAGGTCTTTTCTATGTTTAATGTTAGTTTGTTAGTTGACATGACCATTATAAACCCATGGAACTACCTACCCACCGAAGCCATAAATGCCAAAATGCTGTTAAATTTTAAAATCCAACTGAACAAGATTATCAGGGCAAATAGGGGGACCCTTAACAAGCCACAGGCATCCTGTCCTCATCGAGGCCACTACTATTATCAGTGTTGTTAAAGGGGTAACTGCATTATTCCGACTAATCAACAATTGACAATGTCCACTGCTTAAGGATTAAGCTAATCTGAGCATTAGGATTAAGAACCTGTCCAAAATGCTATGCATGCTAGTGGCTTTGCAAGAATGTGAGAACTCTTGTATGTATAAATAAAATAAAATAAAAATAATGTTGAAAACAGTAGCTTTTGCTTACCTTCCCATAAACAATAATAATAAGCCTATTGGTTCTATCTTGCAATGCCTGAGAATGAGCAGCCTTGAACTCTAATTGGCCCCAAACACTCTCGATGAAATTTGAAGAGAGCACAACAAGAGTCCGTCTACTGGCTTCCACACTTTGCAGTATCTGGTTTTGAATGTATTCTCCTGGTATCCAATCTCTATAATGCAGACAAACTCTGTACTTTGGATCACCTGATTCAAGCCCAGGAACCAATACCTTATTGACAAATTCTTCATCCTGTTGAACAATAAACATTATTCAATTAACTGTACAAATATGTAAATTATACAACTCTTCAATATACAATTGGCATGTAAATTAGGCAGTAAAGAACTTAATTGAAAACCACAGATTCAGATTTATGAAAAGGTTTTTATGCTATTTTTAAGTGCACAAGTGAATGCATTACTACAGATAACCTGTGCCAATCCTTGAGTCTACTGCCTACTCAGCAGTGTATTGGGCTCTGCTACACCCTACAAATCTTGCATTCCATAAATATAACCAAAAATTTATTTATGAATAATTGCATATTCCAAGCATACTGGACTTTTAATGTGCTGCATTTGTGGCTGACAAATGGAGAAAGATTTACATATTAATGTTAACAATAAAATGTATAATATACTGTAGTGAGATGCCTTTGAAGACTAAACCGCACACCAGAAGATGAGGAGACGACAATGTTTTGGTCCGTCCTGAAGACAATCATTGGCATGTAAATTAGGCAGTAAAGAACTTAATTGAAAACCACAGAATCAGATCAAGACAATCTACTTGATAATGGTCCAGGACGGACCGAAAAGTTGTCATCTCCTCATCTTCTGGTGTGAGATTTAGTCTTCATATCTTCAGCCACATTATTGTGACTCGTCGTCTGCATGCGAGATGCCTTTTTCTGGTGGGCCATAAAGTAGATCCCTCTAGCTATAGCACTGAGGCTGCCAAACTTTCAAAACCCATTCTGGCTTGGGAGTCAGGACCACAATCTTGTCGTTTCTATGAGGACAGGGGATGAGGTTAATCTCTCTGGGATGAGAGATTAACCACCAGGGGCCCATGGAAACAGGCCAGGGAGACAAATGGCTGCAGATAGAAGGTGAAACCCCCAGAAAGAATGCAGGGATAGAGTTCAGACAGACATCTGGCCATGGTTATGGAGGAAGATCCAGAACAGCCATTGCTGATCAAAATGCACCAGTGAAAACACAGGAAAGCCACTATGGGGCATAACTGAGCCACAAACTTGGGAAGAGGAGAAAATCCTGGCAACAAACAGAGGACTAGACCATCCTGGGAGAACAAATCCTCAGGCCTAACTAAAACAAGACTCTCCTACAAACCCCCCGAAAGACTTTGGGAGTCAGGGGTGGTGCCTACAACCCCTTGAACCCTTGCATGGCTCAAAACCATAAGGATCTCCTGCATAGAGCAACCAAGAGAAAGGATTCCCTCTCAGTAGTGCAGCCTCCTCATTGGAGAAAATGCAAAGAGCACACAAGCACGCCACAGCCCATCGAGCTACTTGAAGTCTGAAAAACATCAGGGCTATGAAAAGTGCGAGGCCACAGCCACTGTCACAATGGTTGAGGCCAACTGCCAGCACCATAGGGCACAGGTCTACTGTAAGTCTTATGAAGGACAGTCCTGCATCTATGGACAAAGATGTTGGCCACTGCAAGCAAGCCACATTGTCAAGTATAGAAACATGGGGAAACTAAAGCAACTGTAGCAACCACATTAGAGATAATGTGGCAACTACTTGAATTATTCTCAGGATATTCAACATTCTCAGAAGTTCTATTGAAACTACTTTAAAGGTTGCCGATACAACACCATAATCGCTAATGACACTTGCACTATAACCATTAACGAAGCTATACCTAATAAATTCCATGTAACCTACCTTACCCTTCTATTGTCAACCCATGTATGTTTTTTTTTTTTTTTTGTTTTACAAATCAACGCTGTTTTAATGTAATTTTCTGTAATAATTTATAATTGTATTTGTGCTGTTTTTTCAACAATGTTCCCCCCCTCTTTTACCTCTATTTTTATTTGTACTCAACGCATTTTTTTCTTTTTACCCATTAGTTTTAAGCTTTAGTCAGTAGTGTTTTTTCCTGCCCGAAACGCTTTGCGTAATAGTGGCTTTAGGCATTGTATGTACTAGCTCTATCTATAAAGCCAACAAACTTTGTAAAATCTCTTTATGTATGTACCTTTGCCTAAATAAAAATTATTATTATTATTATTATTATTATTAACGATATCTGTAACAAACCCCTAGGGTTTCCACAAATCACTTGGGACAGCCAAAAGTAACCAGCAAGCTTTCCATGAGGCCAAATGATGACCAGCCTGCCAAGTGAGGAGCAAACTGTGTCCAACATAAGGTCAGGTGGATGAAGATATTAAAAGGTTGAGTGACAACACTACTCTAGTTTCAACTCCCAGACCAGATGTTACAAGCCTTGCTACAGAGCAGACAGCCACTCCCAGCATCATTCAAGCTCTACTCTCTCACCATCATTTGAGGTCTCTGCTCTTGCCCCTCCTTTGAGCTCTCCACCTCTGGCCTTCCTCAAGCTCTATGCTCTCTGCTTGATTCGAGCTCTCCTCTTCAGATCTTGTGCAAGCTCTCCGCTTCTGGCCATATTCATCACAATGTCTCACCTGACCCGGCCAGTAACGTGTAACAAGCATCCTCTATCTCAACCTGTCATGACACCATTGTACAATTTCTAATATCCAACTGCTGAAACCAATCTATATTATATAAACATAAAAAAAAACACCATACTCTTTGAATATCATCACCCAAAAATCATACAAGTTACACAACCATTCTGCGAATGTAACCAAATCTGAGATGAGAACCAGTGACCTGGACCATCATACAGACAAGCAGGCATGTAGTACATTAGCTATATGATCTGCTTCCTTTGCTTTTTTACTGTCAAAAGCTGGCTAGCAAGTAAGGGAACCTTTTCCCACAGTAGGAGCAAAATACAAAATCAACATACTGTATTTAGCTTAAGCGTGAAGCAAACTATGGATCCTGCCAAGGGTTCCATGCTTCCAATCTGGGACCAGACAACTGAGGGGGAAAGGCTAGCCGGAGCCTCAGGTGACCTGGGCTGCCACTTAGTGACAATTAGGTGCATTTTACCCCACAACGATGACCATTTGCCATGTTACCTCCAAGTATCTAATTTCTTGTACCTGGTGGGGTAATTTCTTGTATCTCGTGGGGTAATTTTTGTACCTGGTGGGGCAATTTCTTGGTTTGGATTAAACTCTGATCCCCCTAAGCTCCAGTTGCATCGCAGAGAGCCAGATTCTGGTCTTGGCTTCCGGCAAGCAAAGGTGGGTCTTTGAGAGCCGGTGTAACTTCCTACAGCTTGGCTAGACTACCATTTAGTTCGAGACACTACAAAATGATGAACAATTCTACCTGCCAGGATGCTGATAAGTGTTAATGAATTGATTTTTTTTTTACAACAAAATTTAAGAAACCATAAAACTATCATTCAATTACATGCTCTAAGGCAGTGGTTTCAAATCTCTTTACGGTCATTACCCTTTTTTCCCATAGCCTCCTCATTAATGGCTCCCTACACTCAATATTAAATTATTTTTACCATCCTGTGAGCTCCCTTCACCTGGTGGTTATTTCCCCGCTTTCCTTTGATATTGTAACCTGTAGACTACCTCAAATTATGGCCCCTTACATAATGCAGAAAAGTTTCCCCAGGGGGCATTGGCCCCTAGTTTGGGAACTAGTGCTTTAAAGCCACAAATTTGTAATTGTAAGACTATCTTTATTTTGTTCCCTCCTAATATCTTATTTTGTAAAATCTCTTATGTATGTACCTTACCTGAATAAACATTTATTTATTTATTTATTTATTTATTTTATCTTCATTTGTAATAATAATACATAACCACTGAACAGATATTACGTTAGAAACCTTGCAAATCTTATTAACTCAACAATGAATATCTTATTAATAGCAAAACTATATTAGTACTTTAATAGATGTGTTGGTTCATGCACCTTGTGAGAGTAACTGATGAAGGCATCATACTTCTTGTCAGCATCCATCTCATCTTCAGTGATGGCCCACAAACACAAACGGTGTGTGAATAACCACACTTTAATTCCCTGCTTGTATTTGTAAAAACTCACTGTCCCTGTAAGTAACAAATTTATGGTCAATACACATTCACATGACTGTTCCCAATTGGTGCTCTTCGTTTTCGACTAAATTTCAAGTTGCACCGATTCATGGGAAAATATTTCCTAAGCTTTTGGACAACAAAATGTCTTGAAATTGGGAGAAAATGGTTACAAAATATTTACTTCTTACTAATGAATTTCAAGTTATACAATACACATTCTGTTTTGAGAAATCCTGTGGTATCTAATAAATGCAGCTGCTGTAACTATTATACATGAGACCTCAGTCCTGTATACAAAATACTAATGCGCTCAAAATAAAAATATTTTACCAAGCTCGTACTGTACTAGAAAAAAGTGATACTGTATTTGTTCCAAGTATTTCTTAAGAATATTAAATGCAACACTTATTAAATTCAAAATATTTTTGCAGATTAGTACAGCTATAAAGGGGATCTAAACAAGGTTGTAAATACAGTATACAATATCGCCACAAAACATATTTCAAAACAATGGACACAAACTGGAGAAGTTTAGATTTAGAAAAGACCTAGGTAAATACTGGTTTGCAAATGGGGTTGTTCATTTATGGAACTAATAACCAGGAAACATGAGACATGGAATCAATAGATTGTTTCAGGCATAGGTTAGACATATACCCTATATTAACGACTTTAGGTAGGTGTAAGTAGTTGCCTTATAGGAACCAATAAGTCTTTTTGCAGTTCCCTTTACTCTCATGCTCTTATCATGCACACACAGATTTAACTTAAAAAAATGCCTCGCACTATATTATAGTGTTCATGTACAGTGCCTGTAACACGTTATTAAACTGTAAGTAACTTACCCAGTACAGCAAACAATATAAGGAATATCAAGATGGCAACAATAGTGACCACCACCATTGGCTGCATGAAGAAAGGACACAGGCGATGTTCACTGATGTTCATCACAGACTCGTCTTCGTTGTTGCATCGGATATCATCAAAGTCATCAACCTGGTAATAAGCACAGGCATCAATTTGCTGCTGCTGTCAGAGGTCATGCTTAGGGCATATTGTCTACACACTCACAACTTTGATAAGCACCACATTTAGTAATATTAACAAATAAACATTTCCTTTACATGGTGCTGGGCACGATCCTCCACCCTCTTATTATCAATATGAGAAACAATACGGTGTACTGTACCAGTACCCTGTATTCTAAACATTGCCCGAAACGCTGCGCGTACTAGTGGCTTTACAAGATTGTAAATACTATGCTATGTACTCTCTCTAACCCAATGTACCTTCTTGTATATAAATAAATAAATAAATAAACATTCATTCTTCTGAGCCATTGTTCAGTGCTATGATGTTATTGTGACACTAATGGAGTTAATACAGTGTAATTATATATGCAAACTTTCTCTTTATAAATGCAAACTTTCTCTTTATAAATGCAAAACAATTTATAAATAAAGATTTTGGTTTGATTTGACTGAACTAAACTTCAATTTTTTTTGGCAGGCAGATTAATCATTTTATAAGATCCCCCCCCCCCCCCCAGACAGAGAGGAGCCTTTTTGATGATGGCTGCACTTTAGGGGCTAAACATTGTGTAAAATACAGCATTAAAAACAAAACTAGAGTTCTGAATAACCATATACATTAATTACAGTAAGGTTGTAATTACAGTACATATTACCTTTCGTGATGGAACATGTAGGAAGTTCAGGAAGCTGATGATACCACAGCTACATCTCCAGGGATTATTCCCGAGGCTGAGATACATATCGGTTACATTAAAGAACTCTAAGGTGGATTCTGGTAGAGACGTGAGATTATTCCATCGTACATCCAAAACTTTCAGTCTTTCTGGAAAATACGACTCATTGATAAAGGACAACTTGTTATTTGGTAGTGTTAAGTTGACAAGTCTTGAATACAATGGATCTTGAAGTCCAGATAAACTTGTGATACTGTTATTCCTCATATCTAAGGTGATAGAATAACTTAAATTTGCCGGCAAGTAATGATTAACTTCAAATGTTGGCAGTTCTTTTAAATCTTGATAAGAACAATCAATTATAAACATCTTGTCATGTGGACGCCAATAACATGTACAGTTGTCACAAGGATCTTCCCATTGACAAGTTAACATTTGTGTATCAATGTCCAATACGTTTTGAGCGTCTCCTTCGGAATTTCTACACGATACTTTATCTATATCCATTACTCTGATTTTGAAAAAATCCCCTTCTTTTAGTCGTTTTCCTTGAACCATTCTTGCAAATTCATAAAGCATGCAATTGCACATAAGATCATTTCCCTCAAGAGACACATCAACTGACTTTGACTTCTCTACTGAACTCAATATTGTGTCCAAAGCAGTCATATCTATTAATTTTATGTTATTGTTTTTCAAATTCAATTTGACAGAATCATTCAAAAAATGTAGTGAAGATACCTCCACTTCCTGGATCATATTTCCAGATAAATCAACAGACTGAAGTTTCAGAAACACTGCATTGAACGAATGAGGAATATTTTCATATTTATTATCATTCAGAAATATATTTATTAAATTGGTTTGTTTAGTAAGTGGGAAGCCACCATTTTCAGTAAAATAATATGCCTCTGCAGTAGACACATTTTGCAGAGAAGATGCAATCTTATTGTTGCCTAAATCCAAATCGGTCAACATTGATTGTGGATTAGGAAATGATGTGCTTTTCAAGATTTCCAGCAGATTGTAATTTAAATAAAGCTTTTTCAAGGATTGGCATTTTTGAAAAGCTGTGTCTGGTAGATCTGAAAGTTGATTATTTCCCAAGTAAAGTGTCTCGAGTTCTATAAGATTATCAAAGGTCCCCAATCCCAGATCACTCAGTAGGTTTGAACTGAGGTCTATAGTCTTGATTGCTGTCATATCAGAAAATATTCCTCCAGGCAAACTTTTCAGTTTATTTCCATGAAGATTTAGACTTTTCATATTCCTTAGTCCCTTAAACAAATTTTCCTGAATGCTAGTAATGTAATTATTACTTAAATCCAGATCATCAAGGAGGAGGGTGTTTCTAAATAGCTCTGAACGAATTTCACTCAAACTGTTATTTTGCAGACTTATGTTAGTAAGCTTTGTTAAATTTGTATACAAGCCCACGGGAAGACTTATAAAGCTATTATTTGACAGATCGACTTCTGTTAGGTCTGGTGTGTTTGAGAGTAAGAATTCTGGGACTGTATCCAAGTTACTGCCAATCAATTTTAAAGATTTCAATTTTGGAGTGGCAATAAATATATTTTCTGGAACTTTTGTAAATCCATTTTCTCTCATTTCGAGAAATTTCAAATTACTCAGACCCTGTAGGTGCCAATGTTCCAAGTTGCGTCCAGGCTCTTGGCCCTCGCCAATCAATTTCAGTGAGGTAATATTTTCAGGCTGTACACCAACTTTATGTACAACCTCGCCAAATGGCACACTTGACAGAGGACATCCATGGAACTCTATTTCAGATACCATAGGAAAGCTACAATCTTCGATGAATGAATAGTTAATTGTTTTCACCGACTTTAGGCACTGCAACTGAAGAATTCCATTTGGCAATAACTTCACTGTATATTGTTCTTGGCTTTTTGAATTGGGGCATGTCATACTGTTGGAATATATTTCACACTGTCCACAAGATAAAGAAATACTGGTCCCGCCCGCCGCCCAGCTCCAGAGTAGGAAGGCGGGCAGGAACATCCATGATGGCATGGTGGTCAGGTGCAGTCAGCTTGGATAGGGTTGGTCATCAGTCTTCATTCGAACGAACCTCATTGCCACAGCCTGAAAAAATATTACTGTGATAACTACCATAAGGGCATGCATGGAATAAATAATCAATCAATAAGCAAGTGGTAATGAACAAATCCACAAGGGTCGTGACGAGGGTTCGAACCTACGTCTGAGAGGAACCCAGACGCTGCCTTAATCGACTGAGCTACGACATCGTAAAAGAATTGCAACCGGGAAATCATCCTGATTTACCCTTGTGGATTTGTTCATTTGATGCATCATGCTATTGTGATTTCTGTGTGTAAGCAAGTTGTAAGTTTTAAAATAGAGTACATACTGTATACTGACCATGTACACTCAAATAAGAATATATGCTACAATACTATAAAAATAGTGCTGAATGTAATGAAATACTCTTTATTGGTGGGCTCCCAGTAGCTCCGTGAATTAAGTCTTTTACCACCACCAGGACTCTGACTCCCATTCATAGCGGTTCGTCTAATTACCCAAAACTTCCTAGCATTACACAAATAATGCTAAGAAATGATATATTTACTCACTATAATGTTGGTGCTGAATGTAGAGCATGAAAAAACATATCGTTATTCAAACTATCATTTTATAACAATTAGACGGAACTAATTGGCAGGTGACTCCATAGGAAGTCGGCGATCCAAGGTAGAATGTTGTGGAGTGACTTATATGAGATATATTGTTGCCTGGAGGTCAGGTGAGTTACAGGAGGCTGATGTGTCATCACACACTCTCCAGGCAACAATATATCTTGGATAAGTTGCTCCACAACATTGTTGCTTGGATCGTCGACTTCCTATGGCATCACCTGCCACTTAATTTCCAACTAATTTCGTTATAAAATTATATTATTTCAGAGTAACTATGTAATTTTCTATATTGTACATTCAGCACCAACATTATAGTGAGTAAATATATCATATTTGTTCCTTATTTACAGGATGCTAGGAGGCTTTGCGTAGCTTTGGGTAGACGGATCACTCCACCTGCTTCCCACCAGAGAACTAGTTAGTTTAATTAATTAGTTTAATATGACCTCAGAACAATTACATAGTCAATAAAGAGTTCAGGAACTGGAGCCCCCAATGATCATTAAGCTAAGTAATTTACATTTGTAGAGATCTAGTTACAAACTATAATTTAATTGGTCTCTTATTGACAGTATCTGCGAACACACGCAGGCACCACGTGCGCACATACAGCCATAATACATGCACGGCCTAAACGCACTAGCACACACCCGCGTGTGTACCCGCATCCACGATTAGGCACAAATCAAGAGTGAATGCATGACGACGGCGTTTTCAAAGCAGCATATATACCCGGAAGTCTAACTTCAGTCAGGCAGTTCTTGAGAAGACGGCGGGAGAACGCTTTGACAAAGTTCTAATACTTCACAAATGAAATACGGATCACAGATGTATAATTTATTTTGTACGTCAACCGTGTCGACACGTGTCCAACCACCCAATATCGTAAATAGTTACACACTACATCAATTACAGCTAATCTAAAGGTGGTTTAATAATCTACGTATCTTGTAACATACTAGTTCGCTATATCATATTGTTAGCGAGTTGAAAATAAAATTAGTTCGCCCACCACAACGGCCCTATTTATTAAAAGACGATTAAGGGGTCTCCATTAGTGTATGTATAATGCAAGTGTCCTTCCAACCTCAAAAAAGGCACGCTGGTATAGTAGTCTGCAAGGGACGATACGTATATCTTTCAACTATGGTGTCTTTGAGGGGGGGGGCTGATTGATTGATTGATGAAGATTAAGCCACCCAAAAGGTGGCACGGGCGTGAATAGCCCGTAAATGGTGGCCCTTTGGAGCCATTACCACACCCTACGTGTGTGTAAGGGGGGGGAGGGGAATACGTGTCGGAATATATACAGAAATCTGTTATGGTTGTTCAGAGCAATGAATTTTCAATTTAAGGTCATTATTATTTTTGACGAACATTAAATTCTCTCCCTTTTCTGAATTATAATATAATCTAAATGTAAATAATTAAGTATATTGGTCTTGAAAACTGAGTTTTCTTGGAAAGCGAATGAGTGACATTAATGCAAGGTTACCTTCTGGGAAAATTTTAACTCTAACATACTGAGCTCGCTCGCGCGCGATATTCTGGCATTTGTGTAGTTGCAGGATTGAGTTTCGGCTCAACTACACACCTTTCTAACATGTACCGTGATGCAATACCTCTTGACCATCTTGCCTTTATCCTTCTTATTCTACTTGATCAATCAACAGTGTTTTGGATCAAGTTATCACAAGGCCTCGACACCAATGGGGGATGTAGGAGGGCTAGTGTTGGGACGCCTACTCTACCGCTGGCTTCTCAGACGCGTTACACAATTGTTTGAGTTAACTTTGTTGAAGGTTAACCTCAAGACTATCTTTAAGGTGGACCTTCAAGAAAGCAATCAACCCCGTGGATGATTGCTTAATATTTCATTGATCTCTAACCCTGTCCCTGAAGGCGAGAAGAAAATGTATATACGCAGTTTATCACTGTAAATGTGTGGTCACGTCTGAGGTTGAAATGAAAAAGTAAAATAATGTATAAATACTCAATGTACAAGGTTCTTCGCGGATCAGATGGCTGTTCTGTGTTCATGGTATACGTTGACACCTTGGATAAACATCTGGGAAGGCTGAAGGAGCTGTTCTGATAACCTCAGGATCAATTTAGCCAAGCGAGATGATTGGCAGGACCTAGTTTATGTCTGTGGCGCAGACATAACCAGTTGACCAGGCGAGCCTGCACTGGTCAGCTACAAGGTATAGGATATTGATAATCCAACGATTGGTTCCTGCGACGGTGTTGGAACCAATATTATTGGCGTTTGCCTTTCCATTGGAGACTTTCGGCGCCGTGGGGGACGGGGGACCTGCTGCATGGGTAACAGCTTCTCCCCCGTATCAACCTACCCTGGCTTTGCGCCCTGGAGAGGCCACCCCAGACCGACAACCAGAGCCCAACTCCATAGTCTCCTGAGACTGATGGATGCCTACTACTATTATTACTAATCCAACCCAAAGGACGCTAAATGATTTATAAATACAACTGGCTATAGGAGGATACTTTAGGAAACTTTGGTCCAACTTCTTTATACTTGGAGAACCTCAATGACGAGTCTGTTCTCGAAGAATAAGACGTGAAGAAGTACTGCAAATTGTCAGGAAACAACGTACTCTCCTATCCTGCCTTAGCCAGATTTCAGTTCACCTTTTAGTTTCTATGTTGATGTGAGAAGCCTAACGTAGAAACTGCAGTTTAATGCAATAAACAAGAGGGGAATCTCAAGACTCGTATCGGACTACTTTAAGAAATTCCCGAAACACTGAAAATCCCATAATACATTCTATTCTAATTTTGGGCATGATGAGGCCTTGAAGTATTCAGATGAAGGAGGAGGTACATACTTCAAGTTTTAACCCCACCATAACCTCCATTATTTTATACACAAATTGTGTTGCCTCAATCTACGGTTGAGTAAATGAGGGACTGATGCCACTTAAAAGTTCAACGTGTTCATCCGTCACATTAGGGTGTCCGAAACGTTAACGCACATACTCCGTCGCTAACATATCCTGTTGGAGTATATCTCACATGAGGCTTCTGACACCATACATCATGCCTTGGTGTTATTATACTGCTCTGTGGAGAGTCAACTCTAACAATTTCCACCATGAAATACTGATAGGCAATATTTAATTTAATTTAGCATGTAAGTAATGAGGTTTACTGTCTATGCATTTAACGGCATACATATATATGATAAAAGACAGCACTCAACCCGACTCCGACGTCACTTCCGTCATCACGTGACGTCACAATTAACCGACGCAACAATAACTTCAACTCTACTATAATTCTATCTCAATCCCTCAAATCAATTTTTTTTGTTCATATGAAATTCGAGAGATTGAAGATAATACTGTACCCCCCCCCCCCCACAGTAAAGTGACAGCTGAGTGGACAGCGCTTCGTATTCGTAGTCCTAAGGTTCCGGGTTCGATCCCCGGTGGAGGCGGAGACAAATGGGCAGTTTCTTTCACCCTGATGCCCCCCTGTTACCTAGCAGTAAACAGCTACCTGGGAGTTAGACAGCTGCTACGGGCTGCTTCCTGGGGGGGTGGTGTAACAAAAAGGAGGCCTGGTCGAGGACCGGGCCGCGGGGACGCTAAGCCCCGAAATAACCTCAAGATAACTAGAGTTAGGACGAGGCCAGTATGGAGGCAGGCGGCGTCCTGCAGATAGTGACGCCATGATAGTCAGTTCGCCGGAAGTTATTCAGCAGTTGTCACAGATAAATGACTTTCCTGTCGGTGAAAATAAAAATGCCGTTCACACGTGGTTATTATTTAACTTTTAAAGCGTTCGTAATTTTCTCAATTCATGATACTCTTTGAAAAACCTTGTGCTTCTGTTCTACTTTTTTTTGTTTATTTAAGAACAGAACACTAATAATTGTACTCAGGCCCTCATATATTAGCCGACAGATCATATAGTCAGTGATATAGGCCTAGCTAATAAAATAAGTGAAAACTAATTATGAGATGACAGCCTACCAGAGAAAAATGAATACTAATAAGTTAGATTGAACAAAATAATTATCAGCCTGGAATATTACTTGAATATATCAATAAAAAGTTGCACAAGAATTACATAGTGAACCCCAGAGAAAGATGGTCTGTGTTGACAGGGTTGACAGGTTTGACGGGCATGGGGAGACCATTTTTTTTTTTATTAATACATTAGGTACATCTGTATTTGTGAAGCTGCCCTAGACTATATGAAGGGGGAGTACAGTGTGTCAAAAAGCTAGCTACGTGATGCTAAAAAAATCCCCATCACACAGGATGGTTAGTCATACAGAGGCATGTGATAAGTAGTCTGCACTGTCAGACTCTGGGTGCATTATGAGGATATCATGAGCACAAGAGTGAATAAGGCAGCAGTGGAATTAAAAGTCCCCATCTCGCGGGATGGTTAGTCATA